TAGTGCTGAAAAGAACAAATGTAAAAAGATGATGCATACCGATTGGGATCCTAGCTGTAAAACTACTAACCGTTGTAAATACAAAAAGTAAAAAATGTAAGTCAAAGAAATAATTAATGTGAATAAACCGTTTACAACCGGTAATTTCATTATTTATCTTCGTGAAAGTTTTAAATTCTGATTCATTTTTCGTTTTTGTTAAAAGAACATATACTTTAAATTTTAAAATACTTTAAAATTGACGCGCACAATCTTATTTCGATCTACTGAATACAAAGCATGTTGGTCTGTCAACACTTGTCTTGTTATTAATTTTCTCCTATCTATATTCAAAGTCATTATTTTTCAGGATCTTAATTCACTTATAACATAAAACAAAATTATTTTATTATGAACATAGCCAACCACAATATACAGTTGAGGAAGGAAAAACTCTACTATTACATAAAGGGAAAAATAACTCTACCATTATGTGAAACCCTATTTTTGCCATATTTTGTATGTGTTTGGTAATTTAATAAAATTTCAACCGAGTTGCAATTTATATAACGACTAGTCATTTATAAAAGCAATATAATTATGATGCACAATATAGCTATTGAAAACCCTATGTATTCACTGAGTAATAAGATAGTTATAACAACGAAACACACAACAATTTTTCCTAAAGAAATTTGTCGTAAAAATTATATCAATGCCTTCGGTTTATCTCTTCTAGAAAAGGCACACTATTTGCTGCTGTTCAAGATTCATTTATACCATTTATTTCGCATGCTGAAATTAACAATGAAATGTTAATTAGTTTTGCGAGTAGAAAAAAAAATTATTTGTGAAAAACACCCTCAAACCATAGAACATGTTTTTGATTTGAGCCATTTTCCGCCTCCTTAGTATGAATTTTCATCTTGTTCCAAGAAATAATAAGAGCAGGGTTATAGTTGAATTTTCACAGTTATTCCGCCTCAATCTTCATTAGAATTATTCATCAATCATTATACAACAATACGCACTGTTATAATTGATCAACAATTGCCAAATTATTATTTATTGTGTAGATAATTTCTACATTATAATTTATGCATGTTTAACTAGTTGTAAACTAAACGGCCGCTAAAAGTAAATTCTCATGAAAAGACATGGTAGAAAATTTAAAACATATTACAAATAAAATGGAAAAAAGACCTGTTATGCATGTTAAAGTGCAAAAGATTAGAAGAATTTTAGTAGTTCAGTTGGTTGGGTATCTGAACTTTTACCTTATTGGCGAGAGTTCGATTCCCGTTCTTTGATTTCATGCTTCTAAAATTTTTATAATCATTATTGCAAAAGAAAGTTAAACGAGGCAATTATTGTGGATAAAGATTAAAGATGTTATAACAAATGCAGTAATATCATTACATATCTTCGATTCATGGATATTTAAAATATGATTCATCTTAAAAATTTAAATCGGACACCTTTTGAATTATGAAATGCTATACATAGGATGAAAGAGACTAGGATTAACCCAAACAAGTTTGTTCTGATATACAGGTCATGTCGATCTGTCAAATTCGTCTGTTTATTTAAGTTTCTTATTTATATTTACATCCATTATTTTTTAAAATCTTAATTCATTCTTAATATAAACAAGAGTTTCAACGGGTCATGAGATTTGTCAAGTTATCTATCATTTAATTTTCTTCTTTATATTTAAAACCATTATTTTTAAAATCTTTTTAATTCTCTCTTAATATAATATAAAGTTTCACATTCTGTTATTTTATTATATACACAGCTTACAACCATAATGTTTATTGAGACAAAACTCAACTTTTATGTAAATGGCAAAAGAAAACTCTACCTTTCTTGATCTTTTACGAAGTTGTTACCTGCCCATAAAATTAGACTAAATAAGGTTTATTTTCAACCATTTACTTCTGTTTACCCTTTTATTACCACAACCCCTAATTTTAGGGTTTATTCCTTGGTTTGTCCTCGGACCATGTGCCACATGGCAACCGCCATAGCACATGCAAATCCAGCTCGGTTTAATGTGAAGTTTAATATCGAAAACAAAAAAATATATTTTAACATTAATGTAATTTATATATTATCTTAAATGAGATTAAGTATGAAATAAAAATATATCATATTGAAACTACGTGAATAAGAATATTTTAAAATTAAAACTAATATAGTGTATTAACAATACATGAATAAAAGACCTAAAGAAAATCCTATAGGTATTTTTTGTTAGAAACCCAATTGCATACAATATTTACTAGTATGTCTTTTGTTTGACAACCGTAATGACGTATAGGTAAAAATATTTCTTTTAAGCAAAGAGGGGCAAAATATCATAATTTCCGTTATGTCCTTCAATTTTCATTTCATTTGTAGTTTAAAAATCCTTATTGATTTGTTGAACGCCTGGATTAGACATACTTATGAATAATCTTTTTGAATGTATGTTTATTATATCGTTAGACAAAAATTAGTCTTTTTATATCTTTTAATAGTTGATTTTTGAACGCATGTTTATCATATCGTTGAAGTAAAATTCCTTTTGAACGCATGTTTATCAATGATAAAAAAAGAATATATTTTTTTCAGCATTTTGTCGTGCCAACTGGCAATAGTGCTGAAAAGAACAAATGTAAAAAGATGATGCACGCCTACTGAAATCCAAGCTGTCAAACTACTGACCGTTGCAAACACAAAAAGTAAAATATATAAGTCAAAGAAACAATTAATATGAATAAATAGTTTACAATCGGTAATTTCATCATTTATCTTCTATAGGTGGAAGCTTTACATTCTGATTCGTTTTTTCGTTTTTGTTAAAAGAACATATACTTTAAATTTTAAAACACTTTAAAATTGATGCGCATAATCTTATTTTGATCTACTGAATACAGATCATGTTGGTCTGTCAACAGTTGTGTTGTTTTTAATTTTCTCCTATCTATATTCAAAATCATTATTTTTAGGATCTTAATTCACTTATAACGTAAAACAAAATTTAAATTCTCTTTTTTATGGACATTGCAACCACAATATATTGAGCAAAAACTCTACTTTTACATAAAGGGCAAAATAACTCTACCATTATGTGAAACCCTAATTTTGCCATATTGTTCAGACTTCAGAGTAGTAGAAGTGATCAGTATATAGCATAAAACACTTGATTTTTAAGAAAAAAATAGAAATCCTGAAAATATATTATAAGAGAAGTAAGTAATTAAAGAAAAGAACAAGTTGTTACACAAAAAAAGGAAAAATAATAAATTACACAAAGGTTGGATTCTGATAACTCTAATAGTTTATTATTTTTCCTTATTTTCAATAGGATCCCACTTATTTTCTACCTTTTTTCTTTAGTAAGTTGTTCATTTTTTTTTAATATTATATATTTAGTAAGTTATTTACCTGCCCATTTTGTATATATAAAGAGCAAATATTAGGGTTATCCCCACTCCTCACTTTCTCTTTCTGTTTTATGACCGATCCCAAATATTTAGGGTTTTATTCCTCAATTTCTCCACCAGTCACATGTTACGTGTCACACACACCTCAGCATATGCCAATTACAGCGTGAGCACATCTGACGTGCCATCCCCTAATTGGTTGGTGATTTGTCTCTCATGCATTCATGCAAATTTGAAAAAAGAGAGATACACGTAATAAGTGTATAGATTACAACAATACATATTTTTAAGGAGAGATAACATAGACTTTAAAACCTCTGCACTTCATTCCTCCTATATAAAGCCAGTCTCCTCTATTTTTATTGTATAATTTCCCCCTTTCATTTCTTTTATGTCTTAGTCTTTCTATTCTATCATCATGTTTTCTGTCATTTGTCCAAGTGTTTGACACACTCCCCCTCTCCCTCTCTTTAGAATTTCATTTCTTTTCGCAAACCTAAGATTAAACTTAAGAGGTTTTCTCTTGATTTTTCCCTCACATTTTATTCAGACATCTTCGAATCCATCCAAGATTCCTTTCTGGGTGTCGTTAGCTCTTAGTTTTCTGCCGAGCTTTTTCTTGGTCTAAAAGTGGGTGTTCTTCTGATCCGAGGTCTTGATTGAGGTGAAGATATAGTTTTTCTTCATTTCTGATTGTTTTTTTCACTTGAGTTTGTCTTTTTTTTTTTCTTTTTTTTTTTCACGCGGTTTTTTTTAGCTCATCTGTTTTGCTGATTATTTTTATACCTTTTCTTGAAATGATTTTGAATGTACATTTGTTGTGTGCATTTATTTTTGTTTATTTTGTTTCTGGTTGGTTTATTTATTTATCTGTACTTTCTTTTTTGGGTTTGTTTTACTTATGCTTTTTACTGCGCTTCTGGTAGTAGTTTTCGTTATTTTGGCCTGTGGGGTTTATCCTTTGGGTATATCGAAATGGTTGGCGACTGGCAAACCTCTAATTTGGCTATTGTAGTTTTTTGTGAATGATTTTGCTTAGATCTAATGTGGATTTACCGTAGCTTGATCGTGTTACCATAATTTTATGTGAATCTTTGAAGTCCTGATAAAACTTTGTCTTTTTTTAACCTTGTCAAGTTAATTGACGGGAAAGTAAATTATTTAGAAAATCCTAAATAAAGTAGCTTAAAATTATCGGCATATGGTTCTTTTTACGGTTCATTGAGCTTGTTCAGTGCATTTGTTTGATTGTAACGCATGCTGATTGGATGATGAGTTGATGAAATGAACAATTTTTTCCGTCATTGAGAATTAGGGTTTCTTCCATTAAAGGCTTTCACACTAATTCACTAAATGGAGTATATTAATGTGTGTTATCATGTCATAATTATCACATTAAATGTAGTGGATTACATTAGATTAATTAGACGACATAGCTTTAAATTTAATTTAAAGGTGCATACGAATTAATCTCTATGTTTATGTTTGATTCAAATAATATTTGTGTATACCAAATACTTATAGTTTCTCCAACTTATTGACTGGATTTTCATTTGTGGTGGTAAATTCATCATTTTATGTAGTGTTTGTTTTACATGGAGAAGAGTGCCCCATCAATGGAAGGAAGCAATAGAGCAAGTGATTCTGATACTGCTGTGTCCAAATCATTGGGATCGCAGCTCTTACCTATTGGAGGAATATCTATTGACCTTAATCTTCCAATTCCAGTGAAAGAGAAAGAGAACTGTCACCATTTTTCGATACGGTTAGTCTCCAATTTGTAATTTCTTATCTTTTGTAATTAGTTTCCAAAATTTCTATTTTTTTCCTTTTCTGCTGACTTAATTGATTTATAATAAATTATTTGTATTAGCATGATTTAATGAGCATAAAATCATGGTGCCTATAAATTTTCGGTTCTTGCTGTCTCACTTACATTTTTCCGAGATGCATAGGTATTAACTATGTCTGGATCTTTTAGCAGTTGGATAAATTATTATGAATTAACTGATGCATCCACTCCTTTTGCCGTTGCATTTTCCTCTTTAGCATTTATCTTTTGAGTAATGTTATATTGGCATTGAAAGTTTACTTGGCAGTGACAGAATATCCTTGTCTAGAAGTTGTAGTACTCTCCTCACGATACAACTAGTTAGGATATTCTCATGTTTCTCCACGTATTTTTATTCATGTCTTAATAAAAAAAAAGGGGGTTAAAGTATCAAATAAAATTCTTAAATGGACGCAAAACTCTACCTTGATCATCTAAAATCGAGAGGTTTCTGTGATACTCTTCCATTAAATTAAGAGTTGATGGCTCACATAATCACTCAACTTTGGGAAATCAAAATCATGTAACTTTCTTTTGTTTTTAAAAATTATTTTACTTTACCTAGTTTACTTAAATGACATTCTTGCCAGATTTTGTACTTTTCGGTGAGATTTATTTTAAGGAAAAAAATTATTAAAATTTACTTGAATTATTTTAAAACTCAACCAACCTGTTTACCCAATATATGACTGGTCCCACATATATGGGTCGACTTCTTCTCTACCCTATATGCAATTGTAGTTAACGAAAGTTTTTGTACATTTGGACAATAATTTATATCATTGGATTTTTCAGTTCTCATCTCAAAAATTATGTTACATCAAATTTAAAACAACAGAATCTTGCGAATATTTGAAACAAAAATTTGCAAAATATTTGAGATTTTTTTACGACTCCTGGACATTACAAGAAGTGTTGTTAAAGTTAAACAAACTTTAAAAGAGTTAATTTGTATCACTGAATTTTTACGATAATAATTTATATCATTGAACTTTTCAGTTCCTTTGCACTTGACTTAGAGTCTAATGACAACGAATTTTAAAAATAACTTAGAATCTCATATAAACTATAAATAGTTGAAGAACTATAATTCTAAGTAGTTGAGAGCATAATCTGATTATAATAGAATGGTTAAATTTATTTAAAATTTTTCATGTGTCTTTCATAATCGTCTATTGAATGTTAACTTCCAAAAGTTTATCTTGCTCGTTGTTTTTTTTTTAATTGTTGGTACAGTGGATATGTAGCTGAGATGAGAAAGAAGGACATGATAATTTGTTCACCCTTTGGATCAAGCAGCAAGCCTGAGGATCAACTTCCTCCTCTAGACATTCCCAAATTTAAGTCGTGGCGATGTAAAAATTGCATCGGAGCTGAAGGTGCAGGAGACGACATTGGTAATATGTGTGTACATAAGGCCTCTACTAGTGGTGTGCAATATCTATTGCCAGAGATGAAGCACATGTCCGATTCACGGAATGGCGACAAAAATAAAGCGATTATGGAAGATTACATAGATACTGATGATAATGACTTCATATTGTCATGGAAACGCAATAAAGAGAAATGCACTCTAGTTCAAAATACCATTGTCAAAGCTGGTAATATATTATAGTATAAATTTCTATATACTGATATGATAGCTATCTGTTTTTAACTTGAAGTATATATGTTGTGTGTATTTCCCAGTTCCCACAAGTGTTAGCAAAGAGGAAACTGGCAATCCAGCTACTGAGGTGACACTATCTAAGCAACGCTCAACTCATGAAACAAAAACAAAGAGCCCAGGTAATTTAAGAGCATTGTTTTGTGTGTATCATTATTTTCTTTAGGTTTTAATTTGCGCTTGTTCATTACTGTTAGGATTGACAACGATGCTTTTGATTTTGAAAACAGTTGCTAATTTGTTGAACAACAATACAAAGATTGCGGATTCTGAACCAACTCCCTCAAATGATGAAAGTGACAAAGAAGTTCCTTATGATATTGATCCAGAGATAGAAATAGGCTCTCAAAATGTTGAACTGAGAACTGCTTCAATCACTTCAGATGAAATAGAAGTACTTGGTAGCAAAGAAAGGGTTCTTAATATGACCAATGAGAAGTTAAGTAGATTACCTTCTGTTGAATTGATAGAGGGCACTGAAACATCTAAGGGAAGTGATGAAAATTTGGCAGTAAATAGTCAGTGTGATTTGCATGAGGATATTGCAAATGATCTACCGTGCAGGAAAGCTCGTAAGGTGCGCTTGTTGACTGAGATATTGCTGGGTGAAAAAGCCAATTTGGAGATGAATTGTGCTAATGCAGAACGATGTTCAGCAAATACCATGCCCATTGTACTTTCTGATGGAGATACAGTTGGTGCACCTAAGGATAAGGTATCCTTTCTTGAGGATGCTAGAAAGGGTAACAAGATTTCTCAGAAGAAGAGAAGGACGTCTCAAGAAGATAACCGCAAGTCAGAGATGAACTTAGATGGTAAGATGGCTAAAAGATCTAAAGCCTTCAATAAAAAAGCTGAGAGGAGGAGTTCTATGGAGATTGAAGTTTCTGATTCACGTCCAATTGAGAATGGATCAGACAAAGAACGTCTACAGAGTCGCAGCAAAAGTGCGAAAATAAAGCATAGAAGTGATCATAAGGACTCTGGAGTAAATAAAAAGAAGCACAAGAAGGATCAACTTGTCAGTGGATATTCTCCTCAAATGCTCCCGGAGGGGAAAAGCACTGGTATTAGCACAAATGGATATGGTGGTGCTAATATTCTCTTTCAATCGTCAAGTGCTTCCCCCATTGAAAAAGCTGAAACTCATTTGAGGAATGAGTCATTGCATGGAAAAGAAAGAAACTCTGATTTGTGCTGGAATGGTAACAGGTTGCTTGAAGTTAGACATGCCTCTTCTCCTATGAATGTAGCTCAAGACAAAAATTTGCGAAGGGAAAGTTCGAGGAAATATGTTGTACAAATGCCGACTGGTATGGGAGTTGTGACTTCTCAGCTAGAAAATGAGTTATCTGCTAATGCGGAGTTAGACCTGTTTTTGAGCAGATCCAAGGATGCTGAGAAACGTATTGAAAATGATATTATCCAAAGCAAAAACAGGACAAATTGGCAGTTGATTCTAGAAAATAGCAGTAAGAGTGGTGATCCGAAAGATAACTCTTTCACGAGACAGTCAAATGTATCTGAATCAGGCCAATCTTTGAGGAAAGGCGTGAATGCTTTTGTAAGACAGTCAAATGTGTCTGAATTAGGTCAATCTTCGAGGAAAGAAGTGAACTCTCTTGTAAGACAGTTAAATGTGCCTGCGTCAGGTCAATCGTTGAGGAAGGACGTGAACTCTCTTGTAAGAGAGTCAAATGTGTCTGAATCCGGCCAATCTTCGAGGAAAGGAGTGATTTGTGATCTCAACCAGGGAATTTATCAAACATCACCCGTGTGGCAACAGAGTCAAAGCTCACCTAATCCGCTGCAAAGGAGAAATCTTCAAATTCCAAACCGAATGGTACCGTCTTTTTTCTGTTTTCTTGGTGTTACCTTTGAGCCACTTTTTGCTGACGATTATGTTTCCTCTTCCACTAGCCCCTTCACACATTTCTGTATTTTTACTACCCTGATTGAAGTATTACTTACCATTACCAAATTTCTACGTTGTATCTTAGAGCTATTGCTTTTATTTGGTTTACTCAGAGGCTAAACAAAAGCTGATAGCTCTTGTAGTTTTCAAGTGTAGTTCTTGTCTGTATTTTAATGCCTGCAGATAAAGTGGACATTGCTTTGAAACTGTAAGCAAAAGCATGGTAAGTAGTTACACTTGCTGTTTCCTAACACTAATTGGCTAATATCTGTGGTTGCTAAAATGTGCAAAAGGTAAGAAGCACGGATTTTAATTTCAGACAGCCATGTAACTTTTCCCTCAAATTTGTTTTTGTAATTCTATGCATGTCTTTATTTAGTTTAAGTTTACTTGGCTTGTGTTTTATATGTATATTTCCTACATCTCACTTGGTTTTAATAGATATCACTTGGCTGAAGTAGATTTCAATGAGGAATATCCCACTTTTCGTTTAAATTGAATAAGTCAATGCAAATTATTAGGTCAAATTCTATTCTGTCAACTCACTGGAATTCACTTACAGGAAACGCCTCAGCCTTGCAGCAAAGCAAACCTTAATGGAGTTCAAGGTTCATCATCCGTAATTAAGCTGCATAGAAGTCATCAGTCTAAGAAGGTTGTGGAAAAAAGGCCAATTGAGATTGTAGAGCTGTTGAACAACAACCATGAAAGGAATCTTCCCCAGACCAGAAGTAATTTAATGACTGAAAGAGATGACAATGGAGCAGTTACAAGGTTAAATCCTGGTTTAATCGGTATTTATCCAGGTCATGCAAATGTAAATGCTGATGTTGGAGTATGCAGAGGCTATATCCCCCACTTATCCAATGGCAAAGTGAATAGCACTGAGATGACTCAAGTTCAGGAGCCACAGTTCAAACTGTTCGGCAATTTAAGACAAAGTCAGTGGAAACCATCAAATAGAGGGCAAGTTTCTGCTCCTGTTCCCATCAGATGGGGGTTGCAACATGGTGAAGGATCAAAACCTGGATGGTTTCCCAATAGGCAGAGCATATTATTTGGACATGCTAATCCGAAAGGGAGGACTATCAGTGACATAAAGAGTATGGATTCTGAAACCATACCAGGAAATGCGGAGCACATCACCAAAGGTATGGAGTCTTCAAATCCTTATTCTAGTGAGACCATACCAGCATTGCAGTTACTCGGTCGTGTGGATCAAACAACTCCATTAACTCCTGCTTTCAATGTGGACACAAATAAACTTCAAGAGAAATCTTTCTCTGCCTGCAACTATCACCCACGGATTTACATGGATGGAAACCAAAGTATTCACAATGGTGGTTATACTGGTATTCGCATTGGTGGTTATACTGCTGGTTATAGCTCACAACAACCTTTTCCGTACTTAAATGGTAAGCTTCAATTCCCTTCAAATTCATATGCAGTTTTACCTCCTGTAACTGTGATTGGTCCATTTACTGTTTCATTTAAATGAAAGATATTCTAACAGGATGTTAATTTACAGATCAAGTATCTCATGCACCTGTGCAACTTGGCGGAGGAAATTTGCAGCAATCTGTGTCTTCAAGTGGCCTCTGGCGGACCACTCGAGAATCTAGTGCTGGAAATAATGTTTCAAGAGGAGTTGTTGGTACATCAAGTTCAATGGTGCATTCGTTGCAGAGTGAAAATGCTTCCAGGTCATTAGACAGCATAACTGTATTGCCTATCTCTATTATTCCAAAAAACAATCCTCCTTGCCTTTTAAATCAAAACCCTGCTGAAATTGCTCTCGCTGATAATGAAAAGTATCTCAGAACTGCAGAGGATCAGAACATTAGGAATAAGAGCTCATCGCCAGAGAAATCTGGAGCTGTTCGTTTGGATGGGCGAAAGCAGCAGAGGAGAAAACACCGACCAGGGAGAATGCCTCTAGAATGCCGCCGAGCACCATGAATGCTATCAACATTCCTGCTTGGCTATTAAATATTTTCCTTTTGATTTTTGAGAATGTTGGACAAGATTACTGCTTGATTTCTGAGCAGATGTTTTTATTTGTTATATCTTTACCTGGTGAATCAATAGCATAATGAGAAACATTTCATAAATTTAAGGCGATAAAGTTTTATTTTTTGATAGAGTCTTGATACTGATTTAAGAAACTGAAGCTCTTTATTTGTTCTTGAACATTCTCTATCGATTGTTTTATCTTTTTGCAGTCTTATTTTTAAATCAATCCACGCAGCCATGTTAATAATATGTTCATTTGTTGTTTCATGAGTTTTGAGCTTAGTACTAATATTTCTCCAATCATTACTATCTTCACTAGCTAGTTTACTATTACAAGTTCCTGAACTCGAACTAAATAACTTACAACAAAAACAAAATACTTTATCTAAGTCTTTAGAATAAACTAACAATCTTCTATCATGTCTTTCACCATTCGCCAATTTTTGAATATAATGTGTAGTAGAAAAATGTCTTGAAATATTATTATTCGAAAACTTTGTGTCAATTATTCTAATCAGTCCCTTTTCTACTAATAGATTTCTCAACTTTGTATCTACATTAGTCCATTGACTAGGATCATATATATTTATAGGAGTTGAATTATCTATTTCATTCATAAGCTCTTGATTTTTTTGAGGATCTATTTCTGACTTGTCACTTACTTGTTCTTTTTCTACTTGAATATTATTAATTTTAAAATTATCTAACTCAACCGAATTTCTAACTTGCTCATCTAGAGAACACTCTCCCAAATTTTCTGATTCAAGATTTTTATTATTCAATAAAAATTTATCAAGTGCACCTTTTTGAGATTGTATTAGATTTTGAATTCTTCTTCTTTTCTTGAGTTTTTCATAACAAGATTCATACTTTCTATTTGACATATTTTTCTTCTAATAATTAATCTAAAAATGCACTAAATAGAAAAATATTAAATTTTAGATAAGAAAATAATAAAAAGATAGAAGGATAGAACCTGGTTCAAGAACGGATAACTTGATAGTTGATATCAAATTAAAATTTCTGCTCGAGTATGCTTGTCGTAAGACTTGAATTATGAAAATAAAATGAACAAAAAATACTCCACTATTTCTTGAATCAATACACTGAACTTTGAATGATTGATCTTTCGTTATTGCAGAATGGAGGCATGTATTGAAGAATAAAGTATAAAAATATATTATAGTGCACACGTCTGTTTTTACTTTCCTCGATAAAGTTGTGTTCGAGAAAGTTGTGGTCCATNATATATATATATATATAAAGAGAGAGAGAATTTAGGTATAATTAAAAAATAGGGCCCCATAAATGTCGGCCTAAATCAATTATTTTACACGATTTATGGACGGGCCGCCCATGTGTTGAATGAAGACAACTTATTTATTCTTAGACACTAGTTAGATGGGAATTGCTTGATTTTGCTTATGCCCTTATTTATGCAGTAGAAAAAACAAGTGAGTCGGGTTGCATATTAATACAGTTATTTGGTAAATACGTTTATATATATTCTAATAACGAATATTATTATAACATTTCATCTTCTCTATTACTATGTACTCGTTACTGATGAGGAAATACATTGTTTGCTGACTTTTATAGTAAATATTGTTTGTTCTTTGTTGCTTTCGGTTGTATGACGTAATTACTTCTTTATACACCTTGAATTATTAATGTTAATATTAGTCACTTAAAGAGCTGGACACCACACACTTCCTCCGAACCACAAACAACTCTACGACTCCGAGACCCAATGTAGCTTTATCTAGTTAAATACTGGTGAGTGTTTTGGTTGCTGATAAGTGTGGATTTTGATCACTTATTAGTACCTTTTTACTTATGTTTTAGTCCGAAAGTGTTGATTTATGTTCCCAAAACTAATGAAAGTATGCAAATTACAGGAATATTGGAAATGTGGGCTCAAATGAAGAAATCCAACTCAAAAAGGAGTGTTACGACTCAAAAGGCAAGAAGGGACGCATCAGACCAGAAGTGCGGTCCGCAGAAGTATTTCTGCGATAGCAGAAGCGGACCGCAGAATTCTCTTAGCGGCCGCAGATCTGATGTACAAGCCCAGAAGTAATTGAAGCAGAAGTGCGGATCGCATGCAATATGTGCGGCGGTAGAACATGGTCGCACTGACAAGAATTCAAAAAAGTCATGAGAGTGTGCAAAATGACCAAGACTGAAGTGCAGCCGCATATCAAATTATGCGGCTGCAAAATCTATCCCCCTGCAGCCGCATATTAAATTAGATTGTGATCAAGCTTGTTTGAATAAATTAGATCGTATTTCTTTAATAAATTTCAATTGTCATCTTATTTGTCAATGTGATATATGTCACAACCCAATTTCGCTTATAGGTCGTGATGGCGCCCAACACAACGGCTAGGCAAGCCAACTAGCAATTTAAACATACACCAATTATTTTAAATACTTTTCTGAGTAATTTTATTCTTTTATTAGCAATATTATGGAAAATAGAAAAATATTGATTAATTTAAAACCAAGAAAATAATCAACTCCAAGTTCTACCAATGTGTGTGCCAAGACCTAGTGTCACAAGTGTATGAGCATCTAGTAGATTATACAAAAATTTTAAATACTGTCTGAAATAAAATAGACAGAATAAAGTCTCCCGGAAGAGGCATTGGTTGCTGCAGAATGACTTAGCAGGGCAGCTCACCACTAAGCCTCTGGATATCGTAGGTGTGCCCCGATAGGTCCAACTATAGCACCTGTCTCAGGTCCTGCACAAAAAGTGCAGCAAGTGTAGCATGAGTACGTAAACAATGTGTACCCAGTAAATATCAAGCCTAATCTTGAAGAGGTAGAGACGAGATGGTCGACTTTGACACTCACTAAGGGTCAATAATAATAAATAAAATAAAATAAAAATATTTAAATCAACATGATTCATAAAGTTAACAATAATTTTATTTAACCAACAAAAATAATTTAATTCTTTCAAATACAATAATTTTTAATCTATTAATTAAATTCACAAGCTGCAATTAAAATATGAAGGTATCATGTTATTATTTTTATTATTAGGTACGATTTCTGCCGAGGCCGTACGACCCATTCCAGAGTATCGTGTACACTGCTGAGGGACGTGCGGCACGATCCATAGATGCATTTATACTGCCGAGGCATTCAGCCCGCTCCACAAGAAAGGAGAAAATTTTCTTATGTTCCTCCAGAATAAAATTATATTTATTATAAGATTAATTCGAGAGGATGAATAATTTCTTTTAATAATTAATTAATTTAAACAGAAAATTAAGTATATGAGATTTCTATCTTTTAATATCTTTCCCTAACAATTCACAATATATATCAACTAATTTAATTAAATAAAGAATACAATTTAGATAAGTAATTCATGATTTGAGTCCTAAACTACTCGGACTGTAGCATAAATAGTAGCTACGCACGGACTTTCATTACTTTGTGCATACGTAGCTCCCACAATTAGCAGCAATTATTAATGTAATCGCCTTTGGGGTAAATTCTCCCTCACAAGATTAGACAAGAGACTTACCTTGTCTCAAAGTCCATTTTTCGATCACCACGTCGCGTTAAATTCTCAATCCGATGCCGAAAAATCCGAAACTATCCAAATATTATACAAAATAATTAATACATGTTCAATAATTCAAATTTAGGTTATTAAGTAAATTACCCTAACCAAAACGGTAAAATTCCTAAAATTCACCTCGGGACCACGTACCCGGATTCCGAAAATTTTCCGATAAAAACGTTACCCATAATCTCAAGAACTCAAATATATAATTTCTATCCAATTCCATAACCATTTTCGTGGTTAAAATCTCGTTTTTATAAGAATCTAGGTTTTTCATCTAAACCTTTGATTTCTGAGATTTACTAGTTATACTCTACCCATAATCTATGTATTTAACTCAAAGTGTGTAGAATTAACTTACCTTCAAATCCCCTCTCAAAAAGCTCTAAAATCGCCCAACAATGGAAGAAAAATGGACTCAAAATGACTAAGCCCCGATTTTTAATCCATTATGCCCAGCTGAGGTTTCGCACCTGCGGCTTCCGCACCTGCAGAAAAGCCTCGCAGGTGCGAGTTTCACTTGACTGTCCCCTCTCGCATCTGCACACATTTACTCACAACTGCGCGTTCGCAGGTGCACAAAAACATCTGCATCTGCGGTCGATTGCCCCTTCCATTTCCGTTTCTGCGTACAAAAACTCACATCTGCGAGGGTTGCACATGCGGCTGTCCAAGCGCAGGTGCGAACGTACCAGAAGCAAAAAACTTCAGTTCTTCCTCCAAATTCCAAAATTGGTCCGAGCCTCGTCCGGTTAACACTCGGGGCCCTTCCCTAACATACAAACAAGTTTGAAATCATAAAACGGACTCGCTCGAACTCTCGGAACGTGTAAAACAACATCAAAACTAAGAATCACACCTCAAACCAAATTGAATCAAACCTAAGAACTTCAAGTTCTTCAATTTTCTTCCAATGCGCCGAAACTTACTTAAACTACTCAGAATGACACGAAAATTTGCGAGCAAGTCTTAAGTCACTATACAGAACTATTCTCAGACTCGAAATTCCAAACGGACCTCCATTACTCCAAAACCTACTCCAACCCAAATTTAAAGAACTTTAAACCTTCAAATAGTTGATTTTCACTATTAAGTGCCAAAGCGCTCCCGGGTTATCCAAAAACCGATTCGAACATACGCCCAAGTCTGAAATCATCATACGAACCTATTTGAACCGTCAAATCCTGATTCCGGGGTCGTTTTCTCCAAATGTTGACCGAAGTCTAACTTGGCATTTTAAAGTTAACTTAAGGAACCAAGTGTTCCGATTTCAACCCGGACACTTCCAAATCCCAAACCAACCATCCCCACAAGTCATAAATTAATAAAAACAGATACATGGAGTTTTATTTAGGGGAACGAGGTTCTAAAAGTTAAAATGACTGGTTGGG